TATTTTATTAACTTCTTCGGGCTAATTCATGTAAACAATCCCGGTTGGTTGATTTACACAGTTTTAGACGACCCCCAGAATTCGTAAAAAGTTTTGTCGGTCAGAAAATACTACTGAGAAGACTTACTCATGATAGAACTTGGAAAGAATCAGAAGAAATTGTAAGTGTTGTAAGAGAACGTTTTACTCTTCTGGAAGAGATTTGGATTAACCTGGCCTTCAATTCCGAACTTGCAAAATCGTTAAGGAACATCATTTTATTGTCGATCCTGGCAATATTAAAAAATCTCCCTTCTAGGTTGTTCTCATTCATTATCACTTCAGAACGACAAAGCATTGCTAGTTCTGATAGGAAAGGCGAAGGACAGGGAAGAAAACCAGATATTATGTTTATGGCAAACATTTAAGGGTTTTCTTTGAACGTATATACTTAAAATATTCGCAATTATATTATAACAGAAAAGATGGACAATGAGATAAAACTTTGGAGAGAGACTAATGATGGTATATATTGGGATTGCAAAGTTCTTAAATTGGAAAAAGAGCAATTCGGAATAGTTGGGGTGCAAATAGCAGAGAATATATTGCATCTGAATTCTTGTCAAAGATAAAGCTGATACCCATATATATTTTCATATACAATCAACTAAAATCCCAGTACAATTATCAAGTGTAGAAACTGTAACTAAGGGTGTTCTCAAGCATCTTAATCAACCCGTCGGGATGGATCTGAAGGTTAATTTTTATTAGTGGAAAATAGTCTAACGAATCAATTGTATTGATTTTTCCAATGAATAAAACACGTAACGAAAGTTTAATACGTCAGAAAGAAAAATTTTATTAGCGGAAGTTCGTTTAACCGACCAAGGTTATTTATCATTCCAATCAACAAGAGATAGGGATAGAGGCCCAGACGTCCTTTTTTGGGATCCGATCAACTCACCGACAATCACTTCGTAGACATTTCACCGACAATTACTTATCGACAAGTTCATTTCACAGACGGTTTATTTCACCGAAGCTCATTTTACAGGCAATTCTGGTCATCATCATTAGGGTCAGGTTAGAATTAGGGATGTAAAATTACTGTAATTTTGTGTAATTTTACGTAATTTTGAATGAGTTACAATTCGGATATCTTATTACTTATGCCAAAAATATTCGCCGCAAATAAAAAAGGCACGTTTTTGTGTTGTGTTCTGTTGGTTCGTAGTAAATTCTGAAAAAGAAGTAACAGAATTTGGAGGTGTGTTGATTCTTTATCCTTTCGTTGATCCATCGTTTTCATTAATTTATTTTTTATAATGCTAAATGGTAGTAAGGATAAAGACGTTTGCTCAAGCATCAATTGCAATCAATATTTTAATTTTCATAATACTTGAGCACCAACACGATCATAAATTAATCCATTGTGAAGATACATGAGCATATTTCAATCATGTCATCGTCCATACTATCGGTCTTCAACATCATACTATTGGTTCTCAAAAATGGTCAAATTAATAATGCCATAATGGTTGAGCACTATTTCAATCACATCGAGCGTGCTGCTTGAGAACACCCAAAGTCATATCAACCTTCGTAATGACCAGATGACCTATGACAGGACATAAAGGTCATATAGGTCATTTAAGGTCATCGGTTCTATTCTGGAGGTAGCCAATTTTCAAAATAACGCCCACGATCGTTATTTCGCGTTCATACGGTACACGAACGAATTGGTGCAAATATTAAAAAAAAAGTGTATTTAAATAAATTACTTTTTGTTTGTATATGTAATTGATATACAACCCTTCAAATTATCATTTTACATCTAACCAAAGTTCTATCTCTAATTGTAATTCATAAATACCAGATGTGATTTTTTTTTCATTAAAGTTTTAAGATATCTTATATCGTTCAGGTTTAGTAAACGCGTTTTTCCTACAAATGATGGAAATTTTTAATATAACTTTATTTTTGAAGGTGTTTGAAAACCCGAATTATAAAAGGTCTACCAATACCTAAGTGTTTAACAATTTTTCGAACTGATAAACTTTCTAAAATTTTTTTCAATTACTGTATTTGCCAACGAAGATGCTTTAAAGTATCGTATTTCTTTCTGTATTCAATCAGAGTTATATACTAATATATCAGTCAGGAAAGACATTACACCAAGTGATAAATTATAATAATAAAAACATATAAATTTACTATAAGCTAAAGATTCTTTTTAACCTACATATTAATTTATTTTTGAATTTTGAATTGAAAATAGTAGAACAAAATCACTGAAAACAATTTTATGTCTTACTATTATATTTGCATTGGCTAAGTTTTAATTGTTGGAGAAGATATGTTTGACCGATATTTTCGCTCAAAATTTAAAGAAAATTTTGCATAATTTATTTTGATAATCGTTTAAATTTTTTTAAACATTTGAGCAAAGTTATTTTAGCAACTACTAAGTCAAATTTAATAATTCTTTTTTTATTTGAATTCTATAAATTCATAGAATTCAATTAAAAAAAGCTTATTGAATTTGGTTTTGTGGTTGCAGAGATATCGTTTAATCAGCAGGGGGTATGTTATCAAGCCGGCCGGGTCTATTTAATAGTTTTAAAAGTTTTATGTAATGAAAACCAAGCAATTAAATTTTTATGGCCTAATATATAGTTTTTTACCCAAAGAAATTGATAAAATAAATATTAATATGCAAATAGAAAGCGTGATATTACAGTATAAATTATATGCTTATAAAGAGAAAAAAAAAACAAAAAGAGGAGCAGACATTATCAATCGTAACCTATGCCTTTTCCAACGTAAAAAGAAAACAACATTAAAACAAACATAATGCTTGCTTGATGTACATTAAACCTAATATCATTATTATTCATAATAAAATTAATATTATTCCTAATATCATTTCTAACATCATTTCTAAGAATATTAATTGCAAAACTTTTTCTACGCTTAAATTGAAGCTCATCAATTTCAGCAACATAAATTCCACCTCGACTATTATAACTTTTTCGATTTGATTTATAATCTTTAAAAAAAAAATCACTAGATCGTCTATATTTAGACTCAGGCGTATAACTCAATCGACTATAAGTCACAAATTTAATTGGCATAATATCGCCCTTTAATTGTCTGGATGTATAATGGAATGACCGGCATTTTTTTTTTTTTTTTTTTTTTTCTTGTGATGATAATGTTGGTGACATTTCCTGTTCTGATGAGGACTCTTCTTCTTTATTCTTTTCATTCTTTTTAATACCATGAAATGAGTAAGTTAATATTTAAAATTTATAAAAATAGTAAATAGTAAAATAGTTTCATTTTTACCTTACTTTTAAAAAAATTTTGTTCTACAATTGACTCATCTTGAAACTCTACTGATTCGAAACTTCCTAGAGAAAGGTTTGTTTATAAATTCTTTCATTTGCAATTTGACATAGTAAAAAATAATTAAAAATTACCTTCTGATTGCTGAGATAGCTGATCTGTAGCAGTTATCTTTGGACTAGTAACTGCTGCTTTCAAATGTTTCAATTGAAAATCATCTCTTTCGTAGACATCATTATCCTTACTAACAAGTGTAGAATCTGCTGAATCTGTATTAGATATTTCGTTATCTTCCACTCCGTTTATTGACGAATTTTCATTTAATGGAGTTTGGGATTCTGTTGAACAAACATCATAATCATCATCATCTTCTTTATTTTTTGTAATTCTAACATTTATTACTTCAACATTTAATTCTTCTGGCACAGTGATTCTTAAATCAGTATATCTTGGTGGCATCAATTCAATTTTTAAACCTTCTGGTGCAACTGATACATCAAATCCATTAGGATACATTATCTTTGAAGTTTTGATATCAGTTACTCTATCATTAGAAATTTCAATAGCTAAATCATATTGATAAGTTTTGACATTAATTTCTTCACTTATAATTAAACCACTAGTATTCTTTACATATGGTGGATGTCCAATTTTTTTCAATATATCGACAACTTTTGCGATACATAATGGTGGTTGCAAGAAGACAGTTTTGATGATTGATGGAGGAATCGTTTCAAGTCTGATATCAATGTCAGTAATATAGGTAATTTCTATGTACGTTGTTAATTCTTCATCAACTCTGGGTCGTATTTGCCATCCAGCAATAGCTAAATTCGCTCGAACATGTTTTTTACTTTCAGGAATTAATGGATCAGCTACTGAAGTGCTAGCATGCCAAATTGTACCGGTTTCTGGATCATGTTCAATAATACAAACTGTTGCCAAGTCTCGTCGACTTTATAATTATTAATAAAATTGTTAATATTTTAAAAAGTATATAATAAAAATATTTTATATATAAATATGTAACGAAAACGATGTATCACCTGATCGGGAAGTTACGCTTCATCGAGAGTTTGGTTAAAAATTCATTTTGTCCCAACCGTTCAATGTTTACACCTTCGTCAAATCGATCATCCCCTATTTCAAAGATAAAGAAAGTTATAAATTATACAAAAAAAATGAATGTATATATATATTTTTTAAAAAAAATTCAATTTACAAAGTTTTCTCATCTCAAGTTCAGAAATGATCGACAGAATATCTTCTGGTTTATGTCTGCCAGTAATTTTAATATCACCGCGCGTCATCGGCATAGAATTAGTAATTCCTTCTCTTGTGTAAATATCTATACCTTGCTCTTCTTTATAGAATTCCCAACCGTCTAAATTACTTGCTAATGTTTTTAGTTTATATAGTACGTTGTTTGCAGAACCTTTATGACGATCCTTTTTTAATGATTGGTTTATCAAAGATTCTTCCAAAACCACGGATGGTGATACGAAAGATGGAGATACGTGAGATGGAGACGTGTGAGATGAAGATTCTTGAGGCGAAGATGTGCGAGACGGAGATCTGTGACTTGGAGATACGTGAGGCGAAGATAAGGGCAATATGGGCAAGGGCAATGCAGGCATTGGTGGTGGTTCAATAGGCGAAAGTGAAGATGATGTTGTAGACATTGATCTTTGAGAAGTTTTAGCTTGAGAGCTGTCGAGCGGAATTAATGGTAATATATTCTTGTCGTTTATTTTTTTAGATTTAGGTTTTTCATATAAAACATTACTATCTAATGGGATGTATTTAGGATCTTCAGGGATTGTTGCACCTTCCTTGAAAGTTATTTTACGTCTTGAAATCTTTGTCTCAATATCATCAATATTATTATTATTATTATATCTAACACTAGAAAGTTTCGGTGAAAGTATCGGTGAGCTAGCACTAGAAAGTTTTGGTGAAAGTTTCGGTGAACTAACACTAGAGAGTTTCGGTGAACTAACAGTAGAGAGTTTCGGTGAAGTAACAGCAGAGAGTTTTGGGGAAGTAACAGCAGGAAGTTTCGGGGAAGTAACAGCAGGAAGTTTCGGGGAAGTAACAGCAGAAAGTTTCGGGGAAGTAACAGCAGAAAGTTTCGGTGAATCAACAGCAGAAAATTTCGGTGAATCATTTGGAGGAGAATCTTGTGGCATAGTACTTATTATTTGTTGGTCATGCTTAATCAAATAATCTTCAATTCCACAAAGGACAAAAGACCTTCTAGACATAACTGTCGAGACAAGAAATTTTGGAGGCCAACCATTAACATTTACTTGATTAATGTAGATAACTCTTGTTCTAGGTGGAGCACTGGAAAGAGGTTCGAGAATCCAACCAGTTAATATCATTTCTGCACGGATTCTTCCAGAAACATGTGGGACCTTTGGATTATCAACGGAAGTTGCGGCAAAATAAATTTCACCTGTTGGAGTACATTCTATCTTTTCCACTAATGACAAGTCCCTTGGTCTAAATACCAAATTTAATCACGTGAGTAAATTTTACAGTAAACAAATTTGGATCAAAACTTTGAAATAAAAAATTACTTTGATCCAACTAATGCATGCATAACCATGTAAGTTGTACTTGTTGTATCATTTAAATTGTCAACAAGGTGACCTCCTTCGTACCTAGTAAAAAAATGTCGATACATTTCATAAATTAAAAAATTGACCAAAATAAAACAAAAATGGATAAAAATATGAAATATACCAATCGTCCCAAGGTTTTCTCATTCCAATAACAGTAAAAATTGCTTGTGGTGTAAAACCCACTATTTCGTGCTCACCCATGTACACAGGAACTTTGTTATCTAACATAGTTCCCGGCTTGGTATAAACCACAGTACCCCTTTTGTTGGTCATAACCTTCTTCCATCCAGGTCTATTTGCAGTATATTTCAAAGCCTTTATAGCATCTTCAGCTTGCCGAATATGATATTCGGATGATTGCGATTGCTTATAGAAATTACCTCTTCTAGGAGGAACGTTTGATACTAAATTTTCTTCGTTATAAGTGTTAGCAATAAAATTTTCATATTCTGAGTTTTGTTCCATTGTTTTTTTTTTTTTTACAAGTATATTTGTTTTGTTAAATTTCTTTTAATTAAGGAGACTTTAATTAACTTATAAAAAAAACTTTCAATTGCCTTAATTTGGGAATATGCTTGAATTAAAAAAAATTTTAAATTTCTAACGCTAAACGATAAGACACCAAAAACGTGGGTAATTGTTTTTTTTTGGTTTTTTTTTTAAACAAGACAATGATATTAATTACTTTGCAACAATTTTCATAATTATTCTGTAGATATCCTGGAAAGGCGTCCGATTGCATGAATTAAAAATTCGTCTTTATATACTAATTTTTTTCGGGTAATATATCCATTCTAAATTGATACTTTTTAGTAAGGAACTGCTAAAGATCATCCGACTGAATATATGATTAATGAATAACTAAATTTATTTATAAACGCGCGAAAGTCTTTGTGAAGATAATCATATGTTTACATGCGAAAATTACTTGTATGAATGAAGACCTTTAATACGTATCATCTATTATATCATTAAATAAATAACTTTTTTTAATTTATACCAGATACATATATATAAATTACGACCCTTGAAGATTCGTGTGACCTATCGGCATCTCCACAAAATAACGTAATATATATATATATTATTTTAAGACCTTTAATCTTAAAACTTATCATATTCGGCTTCACGTGATTTACAACATTTTTAATTCTTAAGGTGTGATCGATCGGGAAAAAAAGACGTCCAGGTTTTTTTTTTCAATTTAATTTAATAATTATATAATCTCATTATTCAATGAAAATAACCTTAACTAATTATACCCAAGCCAATTGTTCTGGTTGGTTAATTAAAAGATTTACAGTCAGCCCACCACAAGTGCCTCTCCAAAATGCACGCGCCAAGTATACCTTTTCCAAATGCACGCTAGATTTCATTCCCAAGTTTATAGGACTCTTTATAGAATGCTCTTTATAAATGCATATCTTCTCTAAATGTGTATTATATTCCCAAGAGGGGGGGGTACTTACGAAAGATCGACTTATATACTAGGATATCGTAGATCATACATGATAGAAAATATTTATATTTTTATATCTTTTTATTTTGAAGAAGACGACTAGATATTTCTTTATTAATAGTCTACATTAGCGTTAGCCAGTTTGATATACAAACCGATCAGATTCTTTGAAACCTGAGTTGTAAAATTCGCCACGTATGATCATCACATGAACCACATTTTATATAATAATCAAACGCCGATTTAATCTAACACAATCTACCGCTACGTACCGAATTTCAACGCAAGTTTCACTTTGTTCTATTTCTATTATAATTAGCAACGTTTTCGTGATTGAAATTACACCTGTACTTTTACCTGCTGGCAAAACCCGGACAAATCCAAAATTCCAAAAAAAAAAATTAAACAAAGTAATCTAATATTTTCAAATATATTATCTATAACTATATATATATATATATATATATAAGAATATATATATATACTATATATATATTTTGTTTAAACAAAAATTATTAATAAAGTTTTTGAGAGATATAGCCCCAAAAGTGCCAGTGATGTAATCACTTCACCAATCAGATAATACTATATATAAACATATTATTACTGATTGGTGGAAATGATTTACGTCACTAGCACTTTTGGGGTCGCCCTGGCTATATCATTTTGAGATATTAATGTTGCATCTAAAGTAGCGATTTATCTAAAGTAGCTACTTTAGATATATAAAGTAGCGCCTGACTAAAATTAGGCCCCTGAAATTAGATCTTCATGCATGCACTAAATCGTAATTCTAGCCCAGGGCTACTTTGCTACTTTAGATGTTTGGGAACAAATTCAAACTATAGTAATTTGGGATTTGGGCAGCAAGTATATTTGTATTGTTTATGCCGAATATTTCGTGTTCTACTTCAAAGCATTAAGTTGATCAGCAGACCTTCAACGGATGTTTCGTTAGGGACTATCAAACTGTCCATCGTAAATCTGAAATATATTATAAAGATCCGAAAGTAATATATATATTAAAAAGGGTATATGCTAAAGCTAGTAGTTTATAAATTGATATTTATTATCCGCATCTCCCACAGAATATATTTTGGTCGCTATACACAACTCACTTGTTATAGTGAATTCTCGTATAGTTAATTCTTGATAAAGATTCGACTTAGTGAAAAATTTTGAATTATCGAATTACTAAACTTCGACTCGACAGTGAAGTACATGTATGTACGTAGCATTTTCTCGATGTAATCTATGGTGAAGATTTTTTCTCAGTCTGATGACTTCACTGTAACGAGAATGAGTTATAAGTAAATATATTTTTGTTGTCTATACAAACATAATTATCAAATTTGACTATGGAAACCATTTGCACCATAAAATTATAAAGAATATTGTAGCGTTAGAGAACATCAGCACCGAATTATGAAATCTATACAAAGCTTATTCAATCTTATCTTTACTAACCTTTGTAATTACATGATGGGAGTATGCCCGAACCATGTTAATAAATTTAAAGGATAGTAAAAAGTTGTAATTGTTTTTATAATAAAGAAATAATTTTTAAACCGTTATAAAAATGTTTTTAAAAAAATAATCGTTATAAAAACGGGTTTATGATATTTTTTCTCTTCATAATGGGCTTATGATATTTTTTCTCTTCATAATGGGCTTATGACAAGTAATTGTAATGTCACAATAATGTTTTTTGCAAAAAAAATTTTTTAAAAATTTTCGAAAAAAAAATTTTTTTTTTGCAAAAAACATTATAATGACATTACAATTATATACTAGTCATAAGCCCATTATGAAGAGAAAAAAAATATCATAAAAACGTTTTTATAACGATTATTTTTAAAAACATTTTTATACCGTTTTTAAAATAATATTTCTTTATTATAAAAGCAAATACAACTTTTTGCAAGTTTCTGTAAAGAATAATGGGTTTTTTTTTTTTTACCGTTTAATTTAGATAGATATACAGTAAACAGCATAATTTAGCTTTTGTCAAATTTATTTTTAATAATTTGTATTACAAGTGTTAACATTAATATTCAAAATTATTATTTGCTATTGTTTCAGATATTTAAATAGTTAATACTAAATCAAGAAAAGTTTCGGATCCCGATTCGGATCCATTAATGAACCAAGTTCTGATCCATAATTTGTAATTCTGATGAATCCAGATCCGCATAGAGGATCAAGCATCGCTAGTATTTTTTTTTAATTTAAGATTAAAATTCCGATGATTTTTATCTTTTGTATGATAATCAATTTTGAGCATTATAATACTCAATCATACACTTCTTTATTTGAGTAACGTTAAAAAAATATATTATGAATTTCTTTATATTGCAAATAGTAATAAGAAGTTATAAAGTATCTGATGTTTCGTAGAAAAAAGGACCATTTATCTATTTGTCTAAAATAATATATGGATAGCGATGGGATTTTCTAATTTTCAATTGTTAACAGCAAATTGTTAAATTTAATAATAAAAACTTTATGTATTCAAAATCTATCGAAAATAGCTTTTAAATAATCATATATATATATATATATATATATATATATATACTATATATATAATGTATATATTATAGTGATGACACATTCGATAATTTCTAGGAAATATTAAGATTTATAATAAAAATCATTGGTTGTAACATCTTCGATAAAAAATCTTCTATACATATTGGATAATTCAATTATTAACTGCTTAGATTATTGTTAAATTAATATTTTAATTTTAATTTTTAATCGTTAATAATTACCGTATAAGTTCATATACAAGATTCCCCCAAATAGTAGACCCACCATGAATTAGACCCGGGTGCGAACCACAAAATCTTTATTATCGCTATTTTCGAAATGATTGAAATGATTGAAAATGGCAAAAAAAAATTTATTTGCCATTTTCAATCATTTCAATCATTTCGAAAATAGCGATAATTAAATGCAGTTCTTTTCAAATAGTTAGAATGCTTATTATAAATACAAAGTGTGTATGCACTTTAAATTTTTTCTTTTCATGATGTAATCTCTAGGAGTACTAGACCCGGGTCTACTAAAAAGTTTAAAAATTGGTGGAATGAAACAGACCCGGGTCTTGTATATGAACTTTTACGGTAATAGCTAGAGATTCTCATCGTTAATTCGGATTCACTTGACTATTACAAGTTCTAAAGTAATCGACAATATAAATCATTTGACAATTACAAGTCTAAGGTAATCATCAACTTCTCTAATTTATATTGTTGATTATCTTAGAACTTGTAATCCTTAATATATACATCTGATATTCGGTTGAATTCTGGCAGGGCATAAATACCTATTGATTTACCAGCCATTTACTGCGCCGATGCCTATTGTTTAAAGTTATCGTTTTTGATACACCAGAGTTAGAAGACAAGAGATGATCTTTTTTTTATTAACTTAGCCAGCTATGCCGAATTTTAAATATCGACTTAGTTAAGTCAATAAATAAGAATCAACTATAAACACTATAATCAAGGTCTGAATCAAAAATGTTACTTTTGGAGTGGCTGGTAAATCAATAGGTATTTCACGTCGGATAAATGGAACTCTACGCCAAGACATAAAAACACAATCGGTATATTAAATAAATGCTGTAATCACGACTTGTAATATATGAGTTAAACATACAGAAAATATTTTGTTGTGGATTCTATATTGAAGATCGATATGTTAATGAAATTCTGTTAGAAACAAAAAATATATTAATAACAAATATTTTTAAGCTATTAAAACTAATTTTAACTATTTGATATAACTTGTATGTTAAGTGTCGGAATGAGATTTAGAATGCATTTAGCAGTTAGGTTGATAATCCAAGTTGATACAAAATTCAAAAAGCAACTTATAATACTATATAATTGATAAATTTAATAGCAACTTAAGTTGATTTTAAATTCGATACTGTAATAAATCATGATATATTATCAAGATAAAATACAAATCTTTTATTATTTCTTTTTTTACTTCA